GAAGACGTAAGAACTGAAGACAGAGCTGTAAGACTGAAGACGTAAGAACTGAAGACAGAGCTGTAAGACTGAAGACGTAAGAACTGAAGACAGAGCTGTAAGACTGAAGACGTAAGAACTGAAGACAGAGCTGTAAGACCAAAGAAGTACAGACCACAGAGATGAAAACATTAGTCCTGATAATTTTAATGTAAAGATGGTTTCCCTGGTTCATGCAGATGGGCCTTGACTGGTTCTGGTTCTGTTGGAGGTCTTTCCTGTGTAACATAGTTTTTCCTCCCCACAGTCGCTGTTGTGTTCGTTCAGACTTCGGTTATAAATCATTTTCCCACCTGCTGACAGCACTTTGGAGGAAACTTTGGAGGTGTCTTGCAGGTGGGCTGAAAAACTAAAGATGATCAATTTGTTTCAAGATGACAAAAATAAAAGGAGTCTGCACCTCCTTTCACCTCCTGCAACTTTAAATCTTTAAAGGTCAGCACCCCCCTCCACCTGAAGGCCTCATAAAACCTGAAACCCTTCATTTAGACGGACTTGTTCCCACACTAAAACACTGTTTTTAAGGTGGAATGTGTTGCTGCAGAGGGGAGGATCAGTTTATGGATGATAATCTGAGGAAATGTTCTGGATTAACAAGACACATGAATGGATAAAGTTAAACTAAATGTGGCATAGCTGCACTTAACAGTGTGTTTAATAATTTTACACAAGTAAAATAAATCTTTGTGGTTCTGGGTGTTGGTTTGTTTTGGACAGAAACCTGGAAAGTGAACTTGCCTCCACACCTTTTCATCTATTTTACACTAAAGTCCTGATGTTTTCTTGACATTTAGCAAATGTCAAAATTCGCTTCGGACTTTTAGCGGTCCGTAAACCGAACCAAACCGAACCACGTGAGGACTCAGCGGCTCATCCTGCAGGGCCGTCACGGTCGGTGAGTGCTGGTGCTGATAAGATGGGCTGCTGGTCTCTGAGAACCCGTCTATGGGATTAATCTTGTGCCCGCAGGAATTGAATTGAAATTGAATGC